GGTAAACAAATTGGGGCATAGTCATGTAATGGAATACTCTATCCCACTGAAAACAAATGAATTGGAAATGCATGTACTAACATAGCCAAACCTCAAAAACATAATATTGAGTTTATGACTGCATTTATATGAAATTTAAAAACAAGAAATATAATACTATAAGTAATTTTTAATCATGATCTTGTAACAAAGAAATGAAAACATGCATAAATAAATACCACAATCAGGATATTGGCTACCTTTGAGAGAAAAGGGAGAGGAAATGGATTAGAGATTGACATGCAAACGATTTCAATTTTATCTAATTGGTTCACTTAGGTGATTTTTGAGTGCCTAACATTTTTTATTGTTAATAACAAATTAAAGAGAACTGGCAGAGAGATGGAGCAACGAGGCGTGGGTCAACATCTTGGAGAAGGTGGAGGTGGGAGTGGGAGGAGACAACCTCACCTGAAGTAGTCTGGGGGGAGAACCAAGGGAGTAGAAGAAGTGATTATTAGGTAAAGGCATTGCAGAGAGGACTTCAAATGAAAAGACTTAAAGTCACATTGGGGAACTTGGAGAGGATTTTTAGAGCAAAGTCACATTTCCAAATCAAAGGGAAAAGACAAAAAATTTTTAGCAGTGTTTTGCGGGAACGGGGGGAAAAAGAGGGCTTGAAATGCAGGGCATGATCTAGTACATTTCAATTATTTTGTGAGTGATTTTAGAAGAAGGATTAGAGGCTCACTTAGCAAATTTTCAGATCTACAAAGCTAAGAATGATAACTAAAATATTGGACAGAATCATGATTTTTTAAAAAGGGATGGATATCTTGGAAGAAGGACCAAAACACAAGAATATTATTGCAATGGTTTAAAATGTGACATAATTCACTTAAAATTTTTTAAAAAGTTATCCAATTACAAGTCTTGATTCAACCTGAGGATCTTGGCACATCACAGGACAAAGGTGGCCAACTATGTGATGTTATTATTGAAAATAAATTTTAGAAACAGATTATATGACTAGGATCAGCAGTTGTTCTAAGCAATTTGTTCAATACTGGGCAATGATACATTACAATAATAAATTAGGAAGATTCCAGGGTAGGTGAACCAGAATGTTGAGAATGCAGGCAGTACTAGGGAGTTACAATGAAGCATCTTCCAAGAACTTGAAAATAAGATTGTCCTTTAAGGATTAAACAACAGCAACAACAACAAAAAAATCATTTGTATAAGTGGAATTAGCCAGGTACTGGGCTAACCCAAGATGCTGTAGGCACATGGATGACTTCACAAGTGAGTTAAATATAATCTCGGGAAGGTAGAACGGAAATGTGATTATAACAAAGGAAGAAGAAGCCTAATGAGTAATAGCATTCCTCGTCTAGTGAAAGACCGGGTAAATAGACTTGGAGAGAATAGCATGGAGCATACAAGAATTCTGACATGAGTTTTATTTTACATTGTAAACCAAAAAGTCTCCATTCTAATCTATACTTTTGAATCTTGCCTTTAGATAGCATGATTTGGATAACATTTCTCACATACCAACAAAATTGATTTTCTAGACCTGACACTAGAAATGTGAGGTAATATAGCTTTTCCCTGTTATTGGCCCCTTCCTTGTCATGGAAAAACATGAGAGCACGAAGGATGTTTAGCTGGAAAGAGAGAAGCCAGAAAAGGATACCCATCTTCATGTTTAAAGGTCTTCTTGTAGGAGCAGAAGTTATATTATTTTGACTGTTGGGGCAAAGAAAAGAACTGAGCACAATGGATAGAAAAGACAATAAAGTTTCATCTGGCTGAAAGAAGTAACAAGCTAACAATTTGAACAGCGGAACAGCTGGTTTTTGTTTTTGTTTTTGTTTTTGTTTTTTTTTTGTCAGTTAGGACTCATTGGTCATAAGCTGCAGACAAAGTGTAGAGACTGCAGTAAAATAATAATCATAAAAATATGAGGTAGCGCACAGATTTTAAGAAATTCTGTACTACCTGCCTCAGAAGGACAAGACCAAAGCAGATATGGTGACAGAGGGACAGGAACCAAAGGACGGTTTCTTGCAAACCATCATCACAAATCACTGCTGATTTCTTTCCAAAATTACTGGGAAATAAATTCTGGTTACTATAGTTTGGGTCAGATGTCTCTATTTCTTGTCTTCCTTTTCCCCAGGCAAAGGCAAGGTAGGGAATGTTGACTTGAGACCACATCAAGGCTTCATGCAATGGAAAGGGAAAATTTATGGAAGGAAAATTGTCAAGCAGAAAAATATCAGAAACCTACTATGTCCCCCTCATCATTGCAAGTGCAGCAGGGAAGACCACCTATTTGTTAGGAATCCTAAAGAAGAAATTTCTGTGCTGAAAGGAAGTTGGGAAAGATGACTTAGAAGGTCTCTTCTAGTTCTGTTTCTAACGAGAAACTGAGAAGTGGAATTGATTACTGAGATCCAAGGTCATTAGGAAGGAACTGATAAGGAAGATCTGATCCTGTTCCTAAGGGAAGGATGGTATGCAGCTAACAGTGGAGCAAGCGACGGAGTAGGTATGGTTGCTTCAGTGGACTGATGGCTGGCATTGGTCATTGAATGTCATGGGCATTGAGGCATCATGGGTAGATTTTGAAGAGTGGAGAGACATGTAGTAAAATCTGGTTGAGGAAGTCGAATCTGGTAACTGTTAGTAGAATGAACTAGAGAAAGGCAGGAGATCAATTATTTGGAAGGCCTGAGCCAGGGGGATAGCAGCAGGAAGGGAAAAGAAGGAGCAGATGAGAAGCATTTCTCTGGCAGTGTTTACAGAACTCACAGGGCAAGGGGGGAGTGAGAGAAAGAGTGATCCAGGAAAACGGCAATGTAACTGTGAGAAAGAAAATAACTTCTACCTGAGGTGCCGGGTATTACTGTGATGAACTTGAAGCTGAGAGAGAGATGTCAAGCCTAAAAGCATAGATCTAGGATTCCCTCATGCAGAGATTGCACTTGGGGTTATATGAATAGATGATTTTCTGTAAGAACAAATATAATGCAAAAGGGCAATTACTTTATGTCTTTTTAGAAAGAAGTAATCACTGAGAACTAAAACCATTGAAGGAATAATGAAACTTAAACCGGTTTTTAAAGGAATAGAGAGGGAAAAGGAATTCCACAAAGGGACATATTTAAAATTGACTAGGAAACTTAAATATTGAATTGATCTGAATGATTGAATAATTGGATTGATTTTCATGATTCTTCTAAAAAATGATTGTTTTTATTCTGCCACCCATCTGCTCTCTGCCATGGCTACAGAGAGAGAAATGGAAGGAATGAGATACGAGAGAAGTTAGATGAAGAACGCAGGAGAAATACCGATTTCTAGACCTGCTGACCTGGGGGGATGCTGACTGGAAGGCTTAAAGGAAGGACAATGCTCCTGATGCAGGGACCGGCCAGCCCTAATGGTTAATAGTGCGACATGTAACAGGGCTCACCAGTCCTAAAATTCTGCATTTAACATCTGTGAGACAAAGCAATTAATGGAGGAAACAACAACAAAAATCACTGACACTAGTGACCTCTAGTGGAAACAGGTTTCTGGAAAAATATATATATATAAATATAAATTTATTATGTCTAATTATTATAAATAAGACTGTATTTATTATATCTAATACATGTTATAAACAAGATACTATTTATTAGAAGCATATATATATATGTATATATGCTATTAGATTAGGCAAAAATCAGTGGCACATTAACCCAATTTATTTCCAGAGTATGAAGAATGGGGCTGCTGGAAATAGCATATAAATCTTACCCAGAAAGTGGCAATGAACCAGGAATACTTGGTGTTTCGAGCCAGACTAAGTTGATTAATGTTCTGGGAAAAATGTGGATGCTAATTGCTGTTGAAGGCATTACCTGAGAACAGAAGAGTGTTTGGGCAGTGACTTCACTGGTCTCTGGAGGAATCTGGCATGTTAATGGCAGCCAAAAAGAGAACATGCTGACAGGCTTGAGGAGGAAGCTGCACTGCTTGCTAGCATGCCTTCTCAACATTTTTCCCTTTATAACATGGAAGAAAGCTGTTATTTCTGAAGTGTGTACATATTTGCTAATTCAGTATTTTATGGCTTGAGTCCTGTCTCTTTCCTCCACCCCGTGGGTGTTTATGCCGCACATTGGCAAATGCTGTCGAGCTGAGAGGATGCAAGAGGATGCTCAGGGGCCTGGGCCTTTGAAATGGGCCCAGTCTCATGAAGGGTTCAGGCATGATCAGGAAGGTCAAGATCCTAGCACACCACATCCAGCCCCTTTGGATGGACTTTCAGAACCTATAATCTCGACATTGAAGGGAAGCAAAGGAATGGGAGGGTTGACAGAAATTTTTAATTTGTCTGATCACTCTGGGGGCTAATAATTGGTGAGGTGAATTAAATGGTGGGGGAGGGGAATGTAGAAAAGCTGCAAAGCAGAGGGAAAAAAAAAACAACCAGAGATCATATAGAAGCTAAGAGAATCAGTGTTATCAAGCCTTGGGCAACTGTCACTTCTGGCGGCACAGTGATGCTTGTCCTTGTCTCATATTACTTGCATGGCAGGAGGTGTCATCCTGCCTTCTTTCATTATTCAGCCTCCACCACATGATCTGCTTTGTTTCCTGATGCTGCTGTGTAGCCTGGCAGGTCTGCTTCTCCCCAGATTCGCTCCCTCTCCTCTCCATGTCATTCCAAGGATTTAGAAATAACACTTAGAGAAGCCTTTGTGAAAATTCCACTCTGGTCTGCAATTTCCAGAGTTCTGGCCTCTGTGAGTGGGCAAAAGGTGGGCTGGCTGCCCCCTGTCAATGACTTTCTGGTATCATTTCTTAGAGGCCAACTAAACCACAGAGCCGAGTTAAGAGAGACCAACACCAGTGATCCTTCCTCTTTCCCCCACAAAGATCCTTTCCCCCAGGATTAGCACAATTATTTGGCTCTAAAGTAGTTCATTTCAGGGCTCTAGTCTGAAAAGCAGTTTACTTACTGAAGATGAGCTAATTATTTTAATTTGCTCCAAAGCTTCTGTCAGGCTGTCTTCAATCTCAGAGTCATCTAAGGAGAAGAGGTCCCCAGCTCGGGAAAGGTCTTTTTGTCCCAAGACCAGTCTGAACAGGTGATGCATGATGAGGAGTTTGATAGTCAATTGACTTTCTGTAGGCCCAGGGCCATGTGTCCCAGTTATCAGAGGTCAGCAAGACAAAAACATGTAGCAGGAGGTATACTTTGTAGTCCTCGAAAGGTCATTTTTCTTCAGACTTTGAGGCCTTTTACATTCTCTACAAGAGAAACAAATGACACAATGTAGCCATTAGTAGAAAAACATGACCTCAGAATATGAACTTGGTGCCCAACAGAGAGAAAAAAAAATAGACCTTTGGAAATGTGCATCTAGAAGCGAGTTCCAACCTTTCTCATCTCAGGGCACACATAAACTAATTACTAAAATTCTGCAGCACACAAAAACACATATTTTTTGCTGATCTGACCAAAAAACAGGTATAATTTTGTTTCATTGACACCAGACAGCTCTTGTTGTGTTGGCTGTTGTCATTTTCTAAAATTTGACAATCTAAGGGAAAAGAGGTCAGTGCCCCTGACTAAATAATCAGGCTTTGCATGTTTTAAAATTTTTTGTGACACACCAGTATGTCTCCTGCAGTGCACCAGTCGAAAATCGCTGGCACGGAGGAACAGATCCTGGCTTGATAGCTTCAAATGAGCTCTTTCCTTATTTTTGCCACAAAAAAAATCCTGTCAAAAATTATTAGGTTTTTCCAGAATTTAATTTGAGGCTTAAAAGGCAGCATAAATCCCACAAGTATTTTTTCTCTTTTCTATATACTTCTCCTTTTTTCCATGCCATAAGGAAATAAGTGGACAAGCAACAAATATGCCCAACACTTGCCAGATTTTCCCCAAACACATCCCATGGAAACCAAACAGAAAAATGCAATGAAAGAAAAGAGAGAACACAGGAAACATCTTTTAGACCCACTGCCTGGTTTTCTCTCTTTTCCGGGACGTGGAAACCAACGCTTTCCTTCCTGGCTGGGCTTCTTTGCTACATTGACCATAGAAGCTGCCCCAACCTTCAGTCCAAAAGATGACGTAAATACCTTTTTCTTATGCGCTCTCTAAACAAGAAGCAGTGGAATAAAGGACTCTTCTTAGGAGCGTGTGGCTAGTTAAATCTTGGCAGAACGTGAGCATGAACTTGGATATTGAACTTGAAGATGACAACATTTCAATGCAGGCTAAAGGAGAAGGGCTTTGGAATCAAGCTATCCTCCTAGTCCCACAGCTGAAATAATGAACTCCCACTGTAATTCTCACTCAATTAACAGTCCAAAGAGAGTAGGGAAATGGCACAAATTAAATATCTGATTATTCTCATCAACTGCCTTGTGGGCCTAATAAGATCACAGACCATTCGCACCATAGAGGCCTTAGCAATCATTTACGGGCCAGGGAGGTTTAATGACTTCACCAAGGCCCCATGGTAACTGTGGCAGTGCTGTTCTAACGTCAGGCCTGTGGGCTTCTCTCACATTTTGCAGTGGAGTTATCTCATACATGCAAGTAACGCACAAGTGCAGCCACCTGTGCAGAGAGGGAGACCTGAGAGTGATTTATTTAATGCAGGCAATAGGCACATCTTTCCAGCATTTCACTCTGCCTGTTCTCCACAGAATGAGTACGAAAGGGAAGAGGGGAGTCTCTTGTTTCCTGGGCCATCTCAGACATCCCTTCTGAGCTGTCACTGTGGGAATACTTGTGTGCTAAATGCAATCTTAAAGTTTAAAGATACATATCTTCTATGCAATATAGTCTCTAAATACAACCCAAATCTTTCACCAGGCACTCAGTGAAATAAGCTCTCAGTAGTATTCCAAAAGATGAAATTCATGGGCCACTGAAGGGATTTCAAGGGTAATATTGCCTACATGAAACTTATACACTACCCACTACCTTTAGAAAAGTGACTCCCAATATTTATATATGCTTGTCTGTCTGCCAGGTACTATTCTAGATGCTTTGTAAACATTAACTCATTTAATCCCTGTAATAACTGTGTGAGGATATTTTATCCTCATTTGACAGGTAAGGAACCCAAGACATTAAATAACTTGTCCAAGCCACACAGCTAGTAAACTACAGAACCAGATTTTGGATCCAGAGTGCTAAGTTCCAAGTTCATAACCATTGTGCTATGTTGACTCCATGTGAGGCTACTATTAGGAGGAAAGGCTCTTAGAGCCTTAGTAACATTTGAGGATGAAGAGATGGGTAGAGTCTTAAGAAATTGAACTCCTCTTCTCTGCTACACTGCCTCTGCATCCCTGACCATCTATGCCCTGGGATTTAGGCCAATCGGAGAGCAGAAGAGTTGCAAGGAAGAGACACTTAGAGGAAGAAAAATGAAGGAGACTGGTAGGGAAGGTTTCAGGGGGTAGGAAGAGGAGAGTGAGGGTCCTACAGAGTAGTTTACACCCTGGCAAGTGTGGAAAGGTGAATTGCAATAGGAATAAGAAAAATTAGGCAGTTTTTTCCTTCAATTTTCCCTTTAACACATTCTTCCACCCCCACTTAGATATTTACAGTGAGACAGTCTCAGGGAAATCATATTCAGGATGGAAATCACATTCTGGATGGAAATGAGTTTACCTTGACCAGTCAGCTTCTTGGTCAATGTTTGGCACTTTCTTCATCAGATTGAGCTGCCCCACACATATCAGAGCTGGAGCTCTGAGAAGGAGCAGAAATATGGGCTGGGAGAGAGGGGTACCCACAGGCTTTTCCTGAGCATTTCCTTTACTTTCCTAATATATTGCAACAGCTGGTATGGAGCCCCACACTCATGCTTTCACCTTCAGCTGTTACTCCTAAGTGTCCTTCATGTGCAAAATGCTATTGTTCAACACACAGCTTTACATGAAAACTTTCACATATCTAGGGGTGGAGGAAGAAGGGATGAGACTTATGCCAAACACTCTACAATACAAAGACGACCCAGGGAAAAGCCTTCTGTGTACTGTAAAAGAAAGTTTGCAGAAATGCAAGGAGAGAGTGATCACTCCTAGGGAAAGATGATAAGGAATGGCTTTGTGGAGGAAATGGTGTTTGAGCCAAACCTTTTAGAAGACACTTCATTGAGCCAAACCTTTTAGAATATGTTTCATTCAATGCATATGCCCTGAGTACATACTTAAGTCAGCTTCTTGTCCAGGGACCAAGGTTCCCAGACTGGCCACTCAGTGGTTATGGGACTTTTGATTCATGCTTTTTCCTTCCCTGAGCCTCAGTTTCTTGATCTGCAAAATGGGTTTAATACATGCCTACTTTATATCATCAGATTGTTTTGCAGGTCAAAGCTGATAACACGTGAAAGAACTCTTTGTAAAATAATGACACCGACACTTGATGTCTAGAGAGTGTTAACCAGGTGTCAGGCACTACTCCAAGCACTTCCCAAGTACTGAGTAACTTAATTCTCATGACATTTCCATGTGATGAGAAACTGATGTTAAGAAAGGAAAACAACCAGCCCAGGGCATGTGGAGAGTAAATTGCGGAGTTCGGGTTGAAGGCACTTGGTCCCCTAAGAGAAAGCCCATTCGGGACTGTGTACAGTTGTATACATGACTGTGTATGATTACTATTAAGCTGCCTTCCTTCCCATCAGTCCTCATTTAAAGAGCACCCCACAGGCTACACTGTGCCGTCTTTCCTGGATAAGGATCAGCAAGACATGTTATCTATTTTTCAGCAGCTCGGGTCAATGTTTTGCTCAAGTGTCTGGTTTCCTTGAAACAGCAGAGAAGGTCAGAGCCAGATCAAATTCTACCTCATTTTCTGGGAAACCCACTATTCTTATGAATGTCATAGCCCTGTGGCCTAAATCCATGTAGACAGAGGCATCCCATGGTACACACACAAGCACACACATATGCACACAAGCACATAGGTGTGCACACTCAGATACTTTCTACACACGAAGCTCTTTGCTAGCCACTTTCTTTTCGTAGGTCTCCCATCAACCCTGCAGGTTACAAAGAGGAAACCGGACCAGTGAGATTCAACATCCTGCCCCAGGCTGCACACAGAGCCAAGATTCACATCCAAGTAGGTCAGCCTCCAAATCTCGTACTTTTTGAATAATTAAAAAACAATACAAAACAAAACAATACTGGCTCATAAAATTCCTTCTTTCACTCTCATCATTTCTTTTTCTAATGTCACGGGAGCCTAAACTGAAGTCCACATTCTCATTAGTTAGGGTATATTTCTGAAGCAGGTATTGGTTGACAAGCCAGGCTTCCATAAGGAGAAAGAGACACCCCCCAAAGAGAAATGATTCTGCACGAAGCGTGACACATTTCAGGGAGTCACAGCTCTCCCTCCCGGCAAACTCAGTTTACCTGCGTGCTAGTCCTCACAGGCGCGCTGGCTGTCACACTGAGCTGTGTGCTGGGAGGCTGGGCGGGAGATCGGGCCGCGGGCTCCCGGGGCACAGCGAGCGGGATCCACTCGGCTCGGTGAACCTGAAGCTGCTCATTGTGGTGCTGGCGCCGGGTGAAAGAATTCAAGGAATGCAGCCCGATGCCACCGGCAGCTCGAGCTGGTCAGGTGACAGGCTGCACCTCGCCCAGTGGGGAGAGAGTTACCTCTGAGTGAAATGCTCAGTTTCCTGGGGCGAAACAGAAAGCGTGCTCCAGTAAAGGAGAGTTGTTTTTAACAGGGAAAACAAAACTCCCTGTGTTCGTGAAAATCTATACTTGCCCTGGGAAGAATGGGGGGAAGAGAGCCACACAGGAAACACGGTTTCAACAGCAACTCAAGCAGGTGACTGGAATGGCTATTGGGAGCCATTTCACAAAGCCCGGGGAAGAGAGAACTGCAACTTAATTAACACTTCCTTCCCCCTGAGATCTCACACACGGAGTTTGAAACACTTGAGTTTGTCCTGTAAGAGCCATAGCTCCTGAAGAAGTGATTTCGACCATTTCATCTCATGGCACACATAAACTAATTGCTAAAATTCTGCGGCACACCAAAATATATATATATTTTTTGCTGATTTGACACACAAAAAAAGGTATAATTCTGATTCATTCACATTGGACAGTTGTTGTGTTGGCTGTTGTTATTTTTTAGTTTGACAATCTAAGGGAAAAGAGATCAGTGCACCTGACTAAATAGCCAAGTATTGCATGTTTTAAAAATTCTTGTGGCACACTGGTTGAAAATTGCTGCTCTGGGTTAGTACTGTTAAAAGTTTAATGATGCAGGAAGTTGTTAATAAACAAACTTAACCAAAATGCACGCAACATGTTCTCAAATAATGTCCTTTCATTCAACATTGTTTTGTTATAACATTGAAAGGAAAATTCCAGTCCCAGCCGGCAGCCACCGTGTGTGGAGTTTTCAAGTTCTCCTCATGTCTGCGTGAGTGTTCTCTGGGTGTTTCAGTTTCCTCTCACATCCCTTAGATGTGTATGTGAGGTGAATGGGCTTGTCTAAATTGTCCCAGACTGTGCGTGAGACAATTTAGTGTCAGTGCGCCCCCCAATGGAAGGGTGTCCTGTCCAAGTGGCTTCTGCCCTGCACCCTGATCTGCAAGGATAGACGCCTGCCATCGAAGACCCTGAACTGGATTAAGCAGGTTGGAAAATTGTGATCTGACTTGTTTTTATTAATCTTTCTTAAGTGTATGCATAGTTACATTTATTTCAATGTTTACTATTAGAAGCATTTTAGGTCTTCATTAAAAGCTTGTTATGTTTTTGTGACCAGAAACTTAACTATTGTTTATATCAATTAGCCTATGGTAAAATTGGTTTTGTTATACCTCATTTTGTTTCCAAGAACCTATTGATAACATCAAGTGAGGACTTACTACTGCATCCTCTTTTTTCCCCACTTTATTTGCTAGAAGTTTCTTCATAAATATCTACTTGGACCAGATACATCAATTTGTATTTTAAATATTGCAGATAAAATGTTTATCCTGCTTGATCTATTGATACTTCAGAGGAGAAAAGAAACCTTCTTTTATTGTTTCAACAGTTAATAGTGCATTTAAAAAAGACACATTTTTTAAACTGTTTAATTCTCTACCTCTATTTTGTCTGTTCCTGTACCAGGTCCACTGTCCATCAAGTCACTTATCTGCTGGCGAAGTGTACGGGAAGCTGTGCCATAGATAAATTCATTTGTGTGTGGTTGCTGAGATGTGGATATCCTGACGATCTTCACAGAGTGCTACCCCGCAAAGGTGTGTGGTCAGATAGCCACACATCTACCATTGAAGCAGGTTATAGGCTCCAGGAGACCAACTGCATTAATCTTCCCAGACATTTGATGATCAATCATATTTTTATGCCATCAACACATGGAGAAATGTCCCCTTGAAGAGTGTATTTTATGAAAATAGAGAATCTGGTCATCTGTGAGTAGGTGTATTATTTTATTAGTAACTTTTCTAGCTTACAGATAGTGATAGCATCCCTTCTTTTAATGGGTAATTTATATTTCTTTAGTATTCTTTCTTTTTCATCCTCCATTCTTAATGGTTCTTAACACTAGATTTTATCCAATTTTCTTACGTTTTTAAAAGAGTGTGGGGTCCTGGCTTGGACACATGGGAATCCAATAAAAAGTGGGAATGTAGACACAATTGGGCTCAGCTATTCCATTGCCTGCTGTGTAAACCTGGGCAGATTAATTAACCTCCTTGAGCCTCATGTTTCTTATTTGCACCTGAGGATAGTGATATGGGTTGTCAGGAGGTTCAATGAGATTACATGAAGCATTTAACACAGACCTTGGCAGATAGCAATCACCAAGAAGTGACAGCAATTATATCCTTAAAAATATTATTTTTATAGGTCATTCTCCGGTTAACACGTCCCATTGCCACTGATGCACTACTGTAAAGCTACTTACCATCGAGAGCGCAGCGTTAAAGAGGCCCAGATTTGCCCCTTTGTGTCATGTTTATATCCTACTTGTACTCTGTCCCTCAATCTTAAATCTGGGTACTTCATGAACTGTCTTGAATGTGTCCCTATTGGGTTTTTTTTGCAAACCTATCTTGTTCCCGAGAAAGAAAACCTTATTGTGACACTACCCCCACCATGGCTAAATAGTAACAGTGGGGAGGAAGTGTATGATTCCCTTCAGGACACCAGAGGGAAAGTTCTTTATGGCTTTCCAAGGTGACCTACACTCAATGGATGCTAACAAAGCATTGCTGGTTTACACTATTATGCATCAGTAGCTTCTGCTAGATGGAAATGTAGGAAAACTCAGGAAGCCAGTTCATTCTGAGGAAATTATCCTCTAGCTTCCATCTCCAGGTTCAGATATTCTCTGGCTTCTTCAATTCTAGAATAACAATGTTTAGTCACATTATGCTTTGGACAACATTACTGTGAATCAAAAAATTCTCATTTTATTCACCTGTATTAAAAATCCCCACTGACAAATATAGTTCTAAAAACTGTTGATAAAGTTCTCAGATTTTCCCTTGAAAGAAAGGATTAAAGATTCTTTTCAAGGAGCATCTTTTTCACACAGTGTGAAAGAACGACAGGCGTTCCCATGGGAATTGGCCGCATACATTTCAGCCCTTCCCACAAGATGTCTATTGTTCCGGGGCGTCTTTTGGTTTCCATTGCCACCGCATGTTGCTACACTTCACTTCCACTGAAAGCCTCTGAGGCTGGGTTGTTCCGAATGATGCTAAAGAACTCAGCCCTTGGGCTTTTTGCTAGGACTCTTACAGTCTAAGGTTTGTAGCAGGCCTGTTACCATAAGCATGCAAAATAAAAAATAAAAAAAAAAAGGTAGGTTTGGTGACCTATTTAGGCAAGAATGCAAAAACCATATTTAAATTTGAATATGTATTGCAGCTTATTGAAACACAAATAGATAGGAAACATTTTTCTTTGTGGGGAATGAGGGAAACATCTTCAAGTCTAACCAGCTTTCTAAACCAAGAATTTGTGATCTGGCATAATGATTTCATAGTGTGTCCACTTTCACCTGTAAAATTAGATTTTACAGGTCATATTTGCTCTGGAATTGCTAAAAAATTTAATTCAAATTTTGTGGCTTTATGTTTCCAGAAAGCATACCCAAACTCTCGAATTATAAGAAATATTCAATGTTAAGTGTATCTTTATTTACATTTAAATTCCATATATCAAACAACTACATGACCAATTCAAATAATTCCTTAAGTATTGTTTTCTATTTTTTCAGTTGAAAACATATATAAATGTCCTGAAATCCAATGCCAGATTACTCTAGTAATTTGAAAGGACAAAACACATATTTGAAAGAACAAAAAAGTGATTAGATTCAGTTATGATTTCTAAGAAACCTGAGTGATAGCAACAGCAAATAGTAACGGTGACTGTCCTGCTCAGTGACTATAATAATGCTGTTGAATTTTCTTTGAAAATTATAGGCAGGGTCAGTTTCTTTGCTGGTTGCAAAATGTTTCTTCGGGTAAACAAAGGTATGAAATAGAAATGAGCCTAAACTATTATGGAGTAAAGGAAAAATGCACCTAGAAACACAGCTTTCTGTTCCTGAGGCCTAGAGACATGTTTCAATAACTCAGAGAGAGGTGGTTTTTTTTTACCCTAATAACTGAAAAGCATGCACACATGGCTAAACACACAACTCCCAAATGTCCTTAATCTGCATAGTCAGCCAGCCCCTGGAAGTTTCTCTGCCCAGGTCCCCAAGCCCACTCCTTGTCTCACTGCAGCTTCTGACATTTACTTTAATTAGCTTTTGTTTTTACTGAACAAAAGGACAGGAAAGAGGATAGCCATACCTCTTAGCACAGGAAACTGGCCATCATAGGAAAAAGAAGGCAAAATGCTTGATTTGTAGAACAATTCGTCTGGAACCCAGGACCATGCTCAGAGACAGCCGGGAAGCCCCTGTCCCGTCCTGTCCTGCTGGCCGCAGCTGAGCTTCCCCGTGCTGCTGGTCAAGCCTGCGGTACACTTGATTCCCTCCCCTGGACTCACCGTGTGGAATAGGGCAAATGAGTAACTTCTCCTCCCTCTCCCAAACTTCTGCTTAGAGCTCACAATTGGCACAAAGCTTTGCTTATTTCTACAGGAGATTTACAGAAGCTGCTTTGAGCATATCAGTAGTTTGAAAGAATTAGACTTGCCAAAGAAATTTAACTTCTGTTAATGAATAACTCACTTGAAGGAATGAAGGAAGTTTTAAGTTAATATAAGATGTAGGTCCTTTTATCAGGCAGGCATCAAAAAAAGGCTGGGGGAGGAATGGAGAGAGGGAAACAATGAAGTGAGATAGTATTTAAGCCAAATGTGATAGAAGAAAAATACCACAAGAGAGGTAAAATGGCCAAAGGAGCAAAAAGTCTAAGTATGCTATTGGTATTGCTGATGAAATACTGGACAACTAAATGAGGCAGTGGGGATTTTTCCACGCTAGCACTGTTCCTTCTTGCACCCACTCAAATTGCTAA